GATCACATCAGTGGACGGTTTTACAAAGAAACGTTCATTCACTGTCATGACTGGTTAATTATTCAGACTGCATCCTAAAAATGCTACAGTATAGTGTGTGTACATCATCACAATGCATACTGCCCACACTGCTGGTATTTATATCTAATCATTTCCCTGCTTGTAGTATATGTGATGTGTGATGCTGATATGTATTGATGTTCATAAAACTGTACTATAATGGCATGCTTCCAGCACCTCTTCCTTGGTTGCCAGGCTTATGGTTCATCATCATGCAGGCATATAAAATATCTGTCTTCTACTTTTTTTTCCAAAATAAAGCAACCTGCTCACACCCAGCTAATGACATTGTCTCTATTGCATTATATATCTGTGTGGTGCAAGGCCATGCACACTTCACAACGTCAGACATGTGGGCTTTCTCAACCATGATTTTGAAATCTGAGAGAAAGACCACATGTCTGGCATGTATAAGGATATCAGTGATGTTCATTTTGCTTGAGGAGATAAGACTGAATATCTGACAGCACGTCTTTGTGCTATCTCAGTCAAAAAATTTCAAACAGTGTGGACTTTGTCAATATAAAATCCACACAGCACTCTTGGAGACTAAGATTTGTAAACACAAGTTCCTAGAAATGTAAGAAGCAAAAGCCTGTCTGCAAAAAAGACCAGACAGAGGAGCTGGAAACTACAAAACATCACAATGCTTTTGTAATTTACCAGTGTATCTCCCTGCAGCTTGCACCATACTGTGCACATCTTGCAAGAAGCTGTCCACCACAATAGGTGTCAGCCTTCTTTATTCTCTTCAGGAGGAACAGGCACCTGACACAGTACTGTGAGCTGGACTGTATTTTTGCGACACTCTGTGCTTTTGTGAAAGACTGGAGCATTAAAATCACTAACAACCACATCTACAATATGAAGAATACTGCTTCATGCACTGTCTGTGATGCATCGGCTTGTGTGAACACTGCTAACTTTGTGAGGTGTTAAAATACTGAAAAGAAGACTGTTTACTGTGAAGAGTACAGACATCTTTAAGCAATTGTAAAGACCGGCCTCAGCATAAGAAAAAGTACACAATGAAGCTAAAGAGGCAGGGCATAAACATCTAACTACACATGATGCATAAGTGCAACCTGTCCAAAATTAACAGAGGAAGTAAAACAGATGGGACAAAGCAGAGATGTAATAAGTAATGTGATGAAGCTGCCTTGAAACACAAAGGACATCGATTTGTTGTGTCTGTCCACATAACATTAATCCTAATTCATTTTTCAAAGACAGGTTTCTATTGAGTGAGCACGGCTGATTATGCATCAGCATCTGTCAGATTTCCATCTCTTTTGACAGATAGAATTACCTCTGGACAGACACATTCAGTGCTCCCTATTAAGCACCGGAGGTGAATACTGAGACAACCCAGTTCACGCCATCCCATTATTTAAATGTGTCAGTAATAGGCATCGAATGAAAATTTTAAAAAATGGGGAAGCTGTTGGGATGATTGTATGTTATATATGAATTTATACTACCAGTCAAAAGTTGGGGGTCATCTCATGTTTTTCCAGTTTTTAATTTTGACATTTAAGCAATTCAAATCTAGTGAATAACCTTTAATGGTACAAGGCTAAGGAGTAAAGTGTCAGAGACAAACAAAAAAGTCACTAAAAATATATATAAATCTCATGTAAAATGTCTTTTTCAGAGATGAATTAATAGGTTAACTTCCATCTTTTCTCCAATGAGTCTGTACACTCAACATTACATGAACAAAGACTTAAACTTTGTAAAACCAACTCACAGACAGCACGAGTGGAGCTGAATTGGGGCACATCAATAACTGGCTCTCACAACTTTTAGGTCAAAGCCTGGAAGTCTTTCAGATCTTTGTCAGCACAATTTAATATCGAGTTTAGAAAACCCCAACAGCATCACACCTCGTGGTTGACACTGCGAAAACATTAGCTCAGCATGCCTACTCGTATACTTTTTTGCATGCTGATCTTCACAGAAATTGTGGCCAATGTAGAGAAAAAAACTGTAGAGAGCAGATTTGTAGTATATGCCAGAATTTCATTAGAGCTGTAACTGGATCCATTTTATTGCATGACTCATGGATTTAACTAATTTGGCCACGTTACCACTGGTTATAAATGGCATCTGTGTCTGCAATTGCGCTGGGTGGAGTGGTGTCTCAATGACTGAATAGAGTAGAATGTGAGGGAAATTTCTCCGTGGGTTTATCTTCATGCATTCAAAAATCACAGGGTTTCCCTAAATCAAAAATAAACCTTTTAGTCCTCTCTGAATAGCATGGCCACAAAAACAAAGCACATTAAAGTCTACATGCAACACTGGATTAGCGTGATTGATTGAAGAAATAAAACACTGATCATTTACTTGATCCTTTTCTTTTCTCAAGAAAAATGGCCTTTGCCAGATTGTTTCCTGGAAATCTACTAAAACAATGTGAAACAGAGCGTGGAGAAAAGCCTGGCCACTGCTAATGACAAAGTTATTTCTTTTCCACCTGCATCCAGTTTCACCAGTGCTCAGCAACAAGCAAACCATTAGAGAAGCTCAAAATATCTAGAAATTGGTCAAATAAACAAGGCGACCCCTTGGGGACACCCATCCCATTTTTTTCCTGCGAGCATTTGTGTAATGGAAAAACTGACAGTAATGTCCCGTCAGCAATGTTAGTTTAATCTGACAGACGACAAAGTCATTTGTGTCAGAATTGTTTCATCAAACATCTGCTTATCATTGGCAAAATAAATGAAGAGCATAAATGTTGTTCTACACCCAGGCTGTGGACATCTTGACAACTACCTCATACGTGTTAATGGGGAACACATGGTGGATGATACTGTGTGTTCCAATGTGATACAATGCACCCAAGATTTTCATTTATCTCAACAATGAATAAAGACTGCAATGAGCAGATGGAACAGTTGTGTTGCTTCCTATCAACATAACATTTTATATGCTGCACAGAGCATTTTACTGTGAGAGTAAAGAGGTGTCTCAATCACACAGTATTCATCAGTGTTTTCTAATGAAGGGGGTGTTTGCAGAACAACGATAAGAGTGTGCAGTCACACTAGGAGCCCTGTGAGGCTTTACTGAGATTTTGCCAATATTAAAAATGCTATCCTTTTTAATTAAACACCACAGCCTCTGTGGGCCGCCAGTAGTTTAGATTTTTTTAACCAGTCGGTATGCCTAAAAACAATATGCGTGCAAATACATAATCAAAAAACAAAATCTATGTGAGCATGTACTATTCTTCTGGACAACACTACAGTATACGGAGGAACTGTGGAAAATCTGTTCTGGGACATTTTTAGATAGAACGAGCAGGTTATTCAGTCATAGAAATGAATCAGAACCATATAGACAGATTTCAGCGTTAACAATATAGCACCATACCCATTAATATACATTATACAGTAAATTAAAAATCACAGACAAGGCAAAATACACCAAGACACTCATACACCAAAACACAAATCAAGTTGTTTTTCATGCTCAAACAGGTAGTGTTAATATAATTTGTATTTACAGTAAATTTTGCCCTCATGCAACTAAGAAATCTCTTTAATCTCTTTAAAATAAACCCACCAAGACAGACTGGAATGTTAAAGATACATTAGCACAAATTATCCAAAAACAGACAAAGACAGAAACACACTACCAGCACATTTAAAAGGGGAACACTGTTGACTACATATACTGTAAAATAGGAGTAATGGTAAATAAGAGTTTCAGGTCCCATAACCTCAATGTTCAAAGGTAATCATAGTCTTATTTACAAATCTTTTTGCTGCTTGTTTTTGTGCCTGAAGTCTTTGCTGGTTTTTTATCAAAACAGCTGATCAAAGATGAATCCCACAACTGAACAGAACCTTTTGACCTTTCAGTCACTTACACAGTTGGTACTGAAGTTGATTCTGGTTACTGATCAGGTAATTAACTGCTGCCGTAACACACCAGAGCTTATAATCACATACAGTACACAAATCTCGCCTTCTGTGACCATGGTTTGAAAATTTTAGAAAAAAAGCAAGAAAATATTACAAATATAACTATATTTATGTAGTACAATAATAGTGGGAGTTTACAAATTTGCAGTTAGTGTGTGTATGTAACAAATGAAGGCACTGACACGCATCTTGTTACTTATTCTGACAGGATGTAAACGGTGTATTGCAGTGTGTTATTTTTGTCTTACACAATGTACAGTATAATGCACTCATGCTGCAAGGTGATTTAAATTATTGCTGATGGGTCCTTTCATAGATCATCTAAGTACTACAAAAAGCCATCATAATAACATTTCTAGACATAATCACAACGTCATTGAAAATGATTAAAAATATTATTAAAACTGTCAGAGACCCTGCTCAACAAAATCCTTTTCTCCTTTTGAATGATAATCAGTTCATAATTAGCCCATCTATGCTTAGAATCCAAAACACTCATGCAAAACATCAAACAATAGAGAATACTCTCTTTCTATCTCTATAAAAAGGCCACAGCTGGTGCACAAGCTTATCCCAGCATGCACTGGGGAAAAAGCAAGGAAACACGCAAGTCTTTGAATGGCGGAAACCCTGAAGAGAAAATGCAAAATTCAAACAGGATGAACAGTGGCAGAGACACAAACTCAAAACGCATTAATGCTATAAGGCAATAACAGTCCTAACCACTGAATGAGCATGCTGCCAATCTAAATTACTTTACATAAAATAAGAAACAGAGAAAGACTATTTCAAATATTGACCTTCAGCAACTTATAGCTCAGTTGCAGGCAATAATAAAAAAAACAAACAAATTATTCAACCAAAGTAAATAAACAGCCACGTCACAAACAAGCAATCAATATCAACTCTGAATAACATAAAGGAGTGGTGCTCTATGTGCAGGTTAATTAAAACTCCACAAGACTGAAGACTTGGTGAATGTAAGAGGAAGAATGGAAGGCTTACGCTTTCTTGCATTGTCCTCCAGACAACCCTCTGGGAGCAGCAGAGAAATGAAGAAGAAAGAGATTTAATTGGGCATCCAAGAAATAGAAAGAAAGTAGGAGCAAAAGTATGTCTATCAGTTAGTCAAGCAAAACGTTAAAGGATAAATGGTGCAAGTGAAATATCCCATCCTCCAGCCTCATCTAAATATGAGATTTAACACTTCAAACCTGTTTTTTCACCACAACAATTTTTGTTTTGTGAGTTTCAAATCCTGGTGCTTTCAAATCTCAGCAATGCACATATGGCGGCCTGCATACAGACAGCAGCGCTACATGGAGAATTGGTCTAAAGTTGTCTAATAACAGTAGTTATTTTATTCAATGCAAAATAGGCATACTGCATTTGTGTCTGGCACAGACATATTTCAGTATTGTAAAGAAGCTCCTTCATAAAATGCAGACAGAATAAGTGAGTAAGATGTGATGAAGTGAGTAAGAAATCTTACCCTGAGCAACTCACTTTTCTTGAAGAAATGTTCTCATCTTTTACAAGATGTTGGCCTGAGAGCATGTAAAGATGAATTATTAAATCTAGCCTACTGAAACCTGTGGAGTTTCTCTAAATGTGACTTTGCCTTTTACTGTAGTATTTTTTCCCTTTAACATCCTTTTTGATGTCTGTGTGTCATGAAGCAAAGAAAAGACTTTGGTTAGGTTTTTCAAACATGGCCTTTATAACTCCCTTACCACCACTTGGTACTGGCTCAACTCTACTCAACTTGCTTTGTTTTCCAGGTAGACCCCCGCAGTGTAGCTAGCTGTCACAGCGAAGCTGGAACTCGTGAAACTACGCTGGCAGGGCAGGCAGAAAGCAGTAACAATTTTCATCCTGGGCTGTTCTTATGCCATTTATTAAGTTTTAATAGTTTTCAGACAAGAAAATAACCATCTAGTTCTCAAATATGTAGCCAATCTATCCAAGTAATGCCAGTTACAAAATTTGCTCTGAAGTTTTCGGAGATGTGATGACACATTAACGTGTCAGCTAGCTGTAGCCATTGTGCTTGTATTATCACATTCAGGAATCTATGAGCTATGTGATAAGATGTACAGTGTGGTGGTTCATGTAAGATAATGGTTGTATTATATACCATAAATTTGACCCCTCTATAACATTTATGACAGAGAAGTGGCAGCTACTTTATGAACGAGCGAGAGGTGACATCACATGTAAATATATCTGGGTGGCAAGATCACCGCACAGTAGTGACCAGTTTCTCTGACCAACTGGTAGTCTTCAGTGTCTACACATCCCCGTTTGGTATCGCCTTAGCTTACTTGTAACCTCAGTGAAGGTGATGCCAAAAATAGTACCAGGTACCAACATTTGATAGGGAAACAAATATGGCATGTGGCATCAAGCTGAACCGGTGTCAGGCAGTGGAAAAGGGGCTTACGTTAAGATGTACTGAATTCAATAATAACACTTCAAGATTTATAGTACATTTAACTGTAGTTTAAATTATTACGATTATAGCTAGTATTCTGGCAGTACAGACCACTCACAGGCACAGTACTCTCTGCAGCTTTTAATCTGCTTCTCTGCTCCTGCATATTTTCCATTTTACAGTATTTCTGTCAAACAACTCATATAGCAGAAGGCTATCGACTGTACCTTTTATTTAATAAGACAACATTGTATTTAATAAATGGATTTGCCAGTTGGACTAATTATTACATTTCCAACACATAAATGTGTTTTATATAATATAGAACAGGGAAAAATGTTATAAAGAATTATTAGACAACATTTAGTGCAAATTTATACAACACCGATTGTCGTATTGTATCCAACTAGTTAACTGTGCTTATACACAGAATTCTGCTTTCATTTCCATTCCTTCTTTTAACAAATTTAAATGCATGACAATAATAAGGCTTGATATGGGAAATAAATGCAAAAGCTTATGGATTTTTTATTTTTCTTATTATCACAGGCATATTATGATGCCACATCTAAAAGGTGATGTTCAATAGGCTCCTGTCAGCACCTGGAGGTGTCACAATGGCACACATTTGTAGTAAAAGTGGGGAAAGATGCACACAAGATGTTGTGTGGTCCTGGTTTAACATTTTGTCAACCTGAGGCCTTCTGTGTCGCTATGTACTGAACTGACACAGACAGCCTCCCACACAATGTGTTTCAGTGGCAAGGGGGGTGTGATAGATCTTTTTATAGCCTCAATTAATGTCATAGGATTTTTCATCATCCTGAAGCGTGGTGGGTGGAAATGTAATTAGTTTTAGTCTCTTCAAGACTGACTCTCAACATAATACAAATTCTGGGACAAGGAATAGGTCATTTTTCTGCTAATGATAATTTCATGATAAAAGATTGTTGCATTGGTTTTGGCTCTTTTTCTGCTCTTTCTGCAGTAATACACACTTTGTGGAATGTTTCCTAATGTACTTTGTATTTATGATTTTTTTTATTTTACTGAATACAGGAGTGGTGCGGGTTATTCAGAACCTGGGGTCTACTGTATATGGACAACACCAACGTGGACTTTTTCCTGTAAACTTTGGCCCCTTTATTTCTTTATAGCCTTTGCACTCACACCCTGGTAAGCTGATCCTCAACATGCCAATAATACCAGTAATATTTCAGACAATCTCAATGCTGCTCTGTAAAGTTTAGAAAATTGATTGAGTTAAAATACGGTACAAAAAAAGGAAGAGTGCTGAATACCATTTACTTGTAGAAGTCAGACGTCTTGAATAAAATCATAATGTATTGATTGCTTTAGAATTATTAGGCCTGAAAGTGAAAACCGATCAATTAAAGATTTATTTTTGGAATGTTCTGGTTGTCATACAAGTGATCTGACTAAGCCCTACTGTGTCTTATCTGTCATCTCTTTCCAAGAACCTCACAATCACAATTAATATTTTACTTAATTGCCATTTAATACTAATGCAAATAAAATGGCTTATAGAGTTTGATTCAAATTCTTTTTCTATTTTATTGAACAATTTATTCATTTATTTATATATTTTCCACACTTCACAGTATTGGGCTTGGTATCTTGACTCTGTACATACCAATCTATCCAGGCTTGTTCCAGCTGCTGTGGTTGGCCTCTCCTCAGGGGCGTAGGGTCTGAAGCGAACACTAAACATATCTGAGATGCCACGTGCAGACCTGCCTATTCCTAATGGCTTTGGTTGGCCACAGCCCTGAAACACCTAAAACAACCCACAGTGAGATACAATTACTACAGTATCAAGAAGGGCAAGCACAAGACAAGCGTGAACAAGGATACAGACTGCTTAGTGTCTAAAAAAGTGTTTAGCATTCACAGTATTTTGAGAAAATCGCCTCATTTTGCAACATTACCGCATTTTCTCTTGTTGCAGTACAGAATAGCTATGGTAGAAACCAGGTTATTGGGAGTGTGAAGCTGCCTGAATTCTGCACTTAGCCAGGGCTAAGTCTACAGTATTTCTTTGTTGAATACACATTTATTTTGATCCCTCCAAAAGTTGTAGTTTGCCTACACCAGTGACATTTTTCCCCTGAAAAGCCTCTGTCAGTTTGCTCACAGCACCATTTCTGGTCTGTGATTTGAGATAAAAAATTATACAGAGCGCCTGGAACCAATTCTATCTATCGGTGCCCAAGTCTCCTTCTACAAAAAGTGTCACATTGGTGACAAACAAACCTGAAAAAGAAAACCCTTGATACAGTATTTTGTTACTTTTTAGTTGATGTAAAAAACTGGCAGTACATGGAACAAATGAACATGTTTGCTTATAATGTGACCGATAAGATCTTTTGTTTAATAGACCCATGCCGTTCTGAATTCCTATCAGGAGAATTGTGTATTAGATTGATGAGTCTTACATAGAAACTGTACATCACTGTACACTGTACTCTTGAACAAACACTAAATTAATGAAAACTAAAATAAAATTAAAATACTATTAAACGTTCCTGAAATACAAACTGTTATACTGTTATACTATATATATATATACTATTATATTGGGACTACTATTAATTTGGGACAAAAATAGAAGTGCATATGTATTATTACTTGAACTTTACATGTACTGTACATTAATGAGAGCGCGGTTCATAGAGGCTCGCTGTGAGAATAGATTGAGCTCTACAGACTATTAGAGCCCAAATGACACAGCTCCTTAGCATTCCTGTCTGGCCTGTCTGCTAGCCCCTTGCTCAGTAAGTGACAGAGCACTGTAATGACAGGAGGCTGTCTTCTCTGTGATATTTATCAATTCTTCACCCTGACTGCAATTTCACTAACCTGTACATAACACAAGAAAACAGCTTTTCAGGGGGTTTGTGCAGCAAGAATCATGGTACAGGGCAATATGGTCTGACATATTCTGCAAAGCTTGGGGACTGGGGAAGGACTACTGTACATATGGTTAAAATGTGAATGTGGGTAAAGACTGTAATCTCAAAGCAATCTGTCAGCCAAGCACAGCCTCGGCAGGATGTAGCATCAATTGCATAGATGATAGGTGTAGCTGTAAATTGCAGACCTCTTGATGTGGAAAAGAACGTGACATGACCTGCCATGGACCAGGCAGCAATTTAAGATGGCTGTATTTGTAATTGACACTATTCTTTGTAGCCCTAGAATGAAAATAGGCCATAGAGACTGATTAGCAATTTGAACCCTAAAGAGGTTAAAGAGAAAATTAGTAGCGTCTCTTTCAGATTAAACCGTCTCCTAAATACACTTTTATATGCTACTAAATGGTGTTCCAATGATGTTCGGGGGGAAATGTGACACTTGGGATGAAAGAGTTCTCATTCTGCATCCTGCATCCTAGGCATAGACATTTCATTCAAAACTTTTGCTATTATGAAACTATTTTTAGGAAACAGGGTTGTGTATTGAAGCTTGTCATTGTGTTCTATGTACTGTATTTACATTCAAACATAAGGTACAGTATGGGCAATAAAGTGTTGCAATAATTAAAAATAACTACGTTTAGACTGACGATAACCCTTTTATGTCCATTCATTATTTGGTTACATGACCTGTTTTCCCCCCACCTGTAACATTGTAACTGTCCTGTCTGTTGGTTTGTTTATGCAACATTTGCATTAATTTATAAAATATATAAGTAAGTATGTTTTCATCAGTTTACAGAGTTTTCATTGTAAGAATATAGAACTTTCAGGGGGGAAAAAATCACATCAAACTGTGAGGAACAAAGGTGGTTCAGGATAAAATACCTTAGCTGACACTTGCATGCTGTTCTCCTGCATGGTCATGATGGCCTCAGAGATCTTGATGTCAATTGGCTGTATGACTGCTTCAATGTTGAAGGGGCCCTCCAGTCTGTCCGCCACCAGTAACATAGCATCTGCCATAACACAGAAGACACACACACCAATATGTCCATGTTAACTTTGAGCATTAAAAATACAAATCCTTCAGGGCACTGAGCTCCATGAGTCTATGACATAGGTACAACTAAGACTACAAAGTATGGTGCCTTCTCCAAATGGGTTTGACTGCCGGCAATTACAAAGCACAACCATAATCCATCAGTTCCTTCACCTAAACACACAAACACAAACTGTATAAAAAACAAACAACAAAATAGAGGAAATAAACTGGTCTTTTGAGTCAATGCCAAAAACTAATTGCCCACTTAACTGCCACTATTCATTTTCATTAAAACAATGCAATATTAATATGTAAATACATTGGGATGGTACTATTGATCATGTCAGACAGCAATACGTCAGCGAGGAATCTAATATGTGTTAAACATTTTCATTAGATTCTATCTTGATTTTCAAAAAAGACATAAAAAGTCTACCAAGCCCTTTCCAGGGACTAGAACTTGTTAAGTTGGAGGTCAGTAATATCAAGAACACTTCTTCTATGCAGTGACATTTGCAGAGATGTGGACAAATCCAAAGAAGGCCGTCTACCCCTGCGGGAGCTGCTTTGTGCAATAGCACAGCAGAAACACTGATCCTCATCCGCTGGATCTGTAGCAGTAGTAGAATGGCAAATCACTAGATCACATATGTGATCATTGGTGTCAGGACTACAGACAGGTCTGTCTTTATGCAGTGGCTAACTAGGTGGCCTCTAAAAGTACTGCACAGTACAGTGAGGTGATTTTGACAGCTGTGAGTATTTGCCCTGCTGAATCACAGCATATTAAATAAATCAGTGGTCAGTTTCAATTAATGACATCAACAGCAACCATGCAAGCAAGTGGCCTGAGACACGAAGGTTCATGCTGAGTATCTGTCTAGACCTTTGTATAACAACAGGCTCAGAGTGACAGCATCTATGAATATTATAGGAATTATTACAACATTATAGGAAACCACCACACTATACTCTTTTAATACAGAGCTATTCAGCTATTAAACAAAATGATGTATTCAGTTTGGTGTGCCATAAGTATGCATGGTAAGTTGTATAATGAAGAGGAAAAAACAAAAATAATTTTTGTATCATGAAATAGTACAAATTTCATACCAACAGTGCTGCTCCTCAATAAAGTAATGACTGTACATAAATGACGAAATTTGTCCGCACCTTCCATAACAGCATGTCTCATGAGTCTTTTCTGATCTGCTACCCTGTGGATCAGTTGTGATTAGGTTCGGGCAAGCTAAACTAATTAGTTATGGGTAATAAATTCCTATACTACTAAAGAGAAACCTACTACATACTGACTGCTGGTAAGAGATGAAACATGAACCCATATGTTAAGTATCAAAGCTGCAGACTTTGTACTGTAGTGACTGAATCTGTTTTACAGAAACATTGTGTATTGTAGCCTTGTGTGGCAACTTTAACCTACTCAGTAAAAAAAAAAAAAAAATTGACAAATAAGATCACTGGGGTAAGTCAGGGATACAGTAGCTCTCACAATTACAGTGTAACAGACCAGCACCTAGGAAAGCCAATACCATTCAAGACTGTCCTGACCAGCGTTTGCAGAATGAGTCTGAGCTCCTGCCCTAGGGCCAGCATTTCAGAGTGCCCGTCATGAGACTTACAGAACATAAAGTCTCCTTCCTCTCAGTAGCTATTGACAGTGCAGGATATTAAGCTCACCAGCTTGATGGAGTGATTTAGAGGACAAGGGAGTACAGAAGAGAGCACGCTAGCTGGTTTGAGAAGAGGTGAATTAAAAGCATAACAATTAATGAGCAAACCTGATAGTGCCAATTAACACTGAATTAAACTGTAATAACATCCAGGGGCATGGTCTCTGCCCAGCAGATGCATGCATTACGGTACGTACACTGCAATCCAGCCTTATCAAAAAAGAGGTATACTGTATGTAGTTTTTAAGTATACTGTACATACAGACCAATAAACAGATACCTTGACCAACAAGATTGACTTTTGTTTTATGTTTAATGACAAAATATTAGAAGAAAGTTAACCACAGATATGACTAAAAGCTGGTTGACATATCTGGCCTCTGATCAGTGGGTGTGTCTTGTTTTTGTCAGTGAGAGTTTGGCCTCATTTTTGTTCTGCATCATATCATCTAAGCATTTTGAGGCATTAGTTTGTACCATTGTTTCCTCTATGGTGAGTTTGAAGGTAAAAAATGTAATTTGTTCACACCAAAGATGTATTTAAAAAAAAAAATACAAAATTGCTGCCAATTTCTTCCCAGTGGCTGCCTGTGGTATTGCAGCAGAAATAGTTTTTAAAACTGTTGATAGGATGCCTCAAAGTTATTGCTTTTTGTATAATAAATCTGTCATACATTTGTAAAACTGTCCCAGAACTTCAAAAATTGAATTGTATTTTAATGATGTCATCCCAGTGTAAAGTCAAGTCAGGTTTATTTATATAGCACTTAAAAAAACAAATATCTTAATAAAGAAGTAAAAAACAATAACAAACAAAAAAAGCTGACTAAAATAGTTAACTTAGAATATACTACATAATGCACCAGGTGAACAATTTTCATTTTAAATGACTGGCTGCCATCTTAGAGGCCAGGACCCAGTTCCTATGATGCATCCATGCTTTGTTCACAGTGTCCATGTCCCTCTGCACTGCTGAGCAGCAAGTGATTCAAAAGCTCACATTTTCACTAAAGTATCATTCAGTTAGCTAAATCATCAGATAACATTAGTACAGTGACATTTGTTTAGTGAACATCTAGGAAAGATTTAGATGATTGATGACAGACAATCCTGGAATTATTGTGATAGCAACACAAAATATATTCAACTGAAAGTAACATTAACATTACATTCACATCCACAGCACTTATTGTTAAACTATCTTACCTTTTTTATAAATGTGGGTGTACTGCCTGGAATTTCATAGTTTGTCTCAGCATCTTTTTGTCTAATTCTCAAATTATAGATGAATTAATTCATAGGCCTGTCTCCTTCAGATAACAGACATAACGTTTCCGAATACAGATGATTCTTATTATTAACTATAGTGCAACGGGTTAATGGTTTCATTCCACAGATGCATGCAGGTTGTTGAATGGCAGTTAAATACTTCATATCCACTCATCTGTCTTTCACACTATTGTTTACTTTTCATTTTTTTTCTAAATAAACATATTCATGTGTTAGGCTGTGTTTGAGTAAATACAGCTAGAGCGACTCCCCCTCTAGTCTGGTAGTGGCTGCTGTGCCTTTGAAGAGCACTCCTGTTTGTTTACTCTGGAGTCTCAAATTGGGCGTGATGCTTGGTTAGATTTCCATCAGGAGCTGGCTGGAGGTCACTGCAGGGGGCCACCCTAAGTCCTGTGAAGTCTTCAGTTGCCTATGTTTATCAGAGAACTGCTGTAATGCTACCACAGAAAAGGCCTCAGTGGTATTCCAGTGAGAGAAGAAGAGACACTGGCAGCAGTTCTGTTACTCATTCCACAAAAGACCCAAAAACCTAAATGATAGCCTCAGCTGAGTTCTGACAACCTATTTTTCATATAGTTTAATGGATATTTGATGGATTATGAGTATTAAGCAGCCATATGAATTGGTACGAGGAAGGGTTACTTCTACATGCTTAAATAGCTTTTGAAATTATGCCACATATGGGTACACTTCTTAAAAATGATGGACTATTAATGAAAAACATCGTAAAGTTTAATCGTTTCTAACTATAAATCATTAGAAAGGCAAAGGAAAAGACATATTATACAGCACAGGCTCTGCGGTTTTAATTTTGTTCAATGTTGAGCTCATACCATCTGTACCACCACTCTATGTAAAGAGTGCACAGAAGATGTATAAATTGAAAAATAAAACAGACAAGAGGAGAAGCCATGTTTGTATAAATTTGGTTTAATATCACTTGTACAGCAGACTGACTTTTTTAAAGTCCAAAGAGCCCAAAGTTAACTTTCAGAAGAAACCAGACCTTTATTCAAAGGGGTTCGACTACCAAATTAACGGTAGTGAGCTGACTGTATTTTATTCATAGTACAGCATCTGCCTGTCAACAGAACACCAGGTTTGAATGACAAACACATACAGATGTTTAAAAATAACATCGCTTACTTTTTTTGTACTTCAAATTGTCTTTGAATAGAAAATGAGACACACTAGCAGAAACTTTTCATTTTCTCACTTTATCTGATATTGATCTTCAGTGATATACAATAAATTGGATGAATAACAAATAAAACTATTGATTTACACCTATTGTACACTCACCCCTCCATATATTGACTGACACAGTGGCTTCTACTGGCATGGTTGTTTACTTCTGGCTGCCTGTTGGCAACTTTTTTTTTCCTCCTTTGTCTCTGACTGCATGCCTGGTTATTTTCTAATAGAAAACTCCAATTTCCTTCTCACCCAGAGGGCTCTGGATTGAATCCGAATACCTGCTGAGTCCCCTTGGGGACGCAGGAGTCATTCATCTATGAATCTGTGACAAATCAACAACTTTTATCTGAAAATGCTGAGAAACAGTTAAAGGGTACTTCTAATGTTTGTGGACATTTTTAATTTCATGAGTTTTATTAACTTTCAACTGTATTTCTGCTATTGGTTTCTGATCCCAGTGGTATATCAAACTGAGTGCTTTTACTTTTGGTCACTGCTGCTGAGTAGTAATAGACTGTCCAGTAAATACACCCACTATAAGGTCACTCTCTGTCACGCACTACTGTAGATTCATCCTGAGCAGGTACCTGGAAGTTCAGTTATTATATACAGTACATGGCTTCTTATCCATTGCACAGGAACTATATCACTAACAATAACAAAAAGCGAGCGTGTTAAAGTGCCTGCTTTCAATTCATTTAATATTTCATGAATTTAATGACGGGTCTAGGCATATTGCTGCTTTTCATGAGATATCATTTTGTAAATAGCATCTGTGAATGATAGAGTGGGTGAA